AGAGGATTGGCAGTTAAAAGTGCCTACTGAAACAAAGCCACTCACACGATGACTACTATTTTAGGAAGACGGTCTTGGCTGTCACTCTTCGCCAACTTTTTTCCTTTTGGTGGTGGAGGTGGCGCTGGTGGTGGTGTTTGTTTCTTCTTCACCTTTGACGGATTTTTCCCTTTATCCTGGAATTTGTCTCTTGATCCTGGACAGAATGCTGAACTCGGAAACCTACCATCTTTGTCGAATGTAATGCATAAAAATGAGTCGAACTTGTTTTGATGAACCCGCTTGCGTGAAAAATGAAACATTCCGCTTCGCCTGTCGATGTTATCAGTCGGACTTATTTTTCCCGTCCACACCATTATCACAATTCATGACTGTGGAGTCACTTAGGTGGTCTCTTACATGCAAACAAGCTGAAATCTTCTTACGCATAGGCTAGAAATGTAGTTCATATCAAAGCGCCTGGAGAGGGTGTGTCCAGTAGCTGCGTATAGGTAGTCTTGCTAGCGACTTTGCAGTTCTGCAGTCTTGCTACTCCAGTGCTAAGACAGCAGAACTGCAAAGTCGCTTATATCCTCTTATGAAGAACTTGACGTCTTTCTGTGTCTAACACGTGCAACACTCCCAGATTCGCTGCGGTTGCGACTGCCGTGCTCAAAGGTACATCCATGGACACGCCCTCTCCGGGAGCCGTGTTAAGGCAACACTTCACAGATGCCTTGCCAGTGCCACGCTCATTAATACGCTCGTAAGCACGTCCTCTTTAGGAACCATGATACGGACCCTACTCTGAACAATACACTTTTCTGAACAGTGGTCGGATTCGTAGCGCATTCTGGAGAAAATCAGTCTATGTTTAACAAGTTGTGCTTCAACGTTGGTCCAGGGGATGTCCAGGTTTCGATTGCGTAGCCCTAACTCTATGTTGGTGCCTACGATGAGGCAATCCACATGCCCTGTGGCACATTTTGAGCACTTTGAACGTGCAGTGCTAGATAACTTTGCAGCTAGTAATTCTAGCCTTTATGACGATATGCAGCAGCTCTTAAGGACAGACCCCCCCCCCGCTCAAGCAATTCGTAGTCGTGCTCCCTTGTGCAAGTAGCCTAGCCCGCAGACTCAGAGGTTGTCCTACTTTCGCGACTCCACAGCGAGTGGGGACGGTGCTGCAGCCGTCGAAAACTCTTTAGTTCTGACACCCGTTGGACCGCCAACCTAGAAATGTCCTCTTTCAGATAAAGGAAGCGCTCAGTTCTTGTTAAGTGGAGGGGCTGGTCGGCTATGTATTGA